TTGTCGTTCAGAAGATCAAAAGAATATATAATATGTAGATAAAAAAATCATATACTTATTAACCAATTTGTCCTCGATTAATATACATGCTATCTAGATTTTAAAAAATATAGAATTTAATTCGTTTTAAATAATAAATCAAGAGACTTTGAATTGATGCTGGTCAATATGGATCGATTATTAATACCATAAGAGGTACCATAACTGATAGAATATGTCCTATGAATATTATTATTGCAAGTATTATTTGAATTTTCATTGAAAATACATTCGGTGTATTTTCAAAAGTTTTACTAGAAGAAAAAGAAAATCGAAATAAATAAATAATTAAATAAAAATAATGATAGTACTCTATTGTAACTGATATTTCTTGCTGTAATTATTGTCCAATCAGGATTTTCAAAAGATTTTACTTTAAGGTCGTTTTCATCATATTGAGAATGACAAGTAACAGCAGATGGACTTACATACGGCAAAGGCTGTTCTTCAGCGTTACTCATTATAATTCAAATGACAAATAAATATAAAATGAAAGCCTATCTTTTATTTATTTTCAATAAGTTTACATTATTCTTCTGCTTCAAATTTTATTTTCTCGTTGTTTTTTTTCTTCTTCTGATTTTTCCTTCTATTATTATGATTATTATTTTATATTAACAAAAATTCAAAAGGTTTCCTTGTTTTCATGTCAATCATTCAATTTCTCTTTTTTCAACAAACAAAAACTCTGCAAATAGGGTGTGGTGTGGGTGTGGGTATGGGTGTAGGTGTGGGTGTGGGTGTGGGTGGGGTGTGGGTGTGGGTGGGTTGTGGGTGTGGGTGTGAATCTTCCATTCATTTACACCCACACCCACACCCATACCCTCACCCAGCCACACACCCGCACCCACCTATACCCACACCAACACCCACACCCACATCCACACCCACACCCACCCACACCCACACCCTCAAGATTTTCATTGCTTTTTAATAAAAAGAGAACTTCCAATATTTCAAGGATGCGGAATCCTTGAAAACGCGGTGTACCGAACTCCCGGGTTGATTCACTTTTGTGCTTATAAAAACAAAAAAATTAAGCTGTTTTATTAGAAATTTTAATCAAATTCAGGGATTCCGACGGCGTGCCGATGATTGCATGATTATATGAACGCTTTAAATGAAAAAAAATTAGTTTTTTGTCCGTTTCGTAGTCCTTCTTCATTTATTGGATTCCAGGTCGAATTTTTGTACTCGATGATTTCCGTTATCGCCGACATAGAGATTGTCGTGTCGATCGAATGACAAAGTGAAGGGCCAATGGAGTTGGTCCGATTGTCCTCCTTCACCGTTTCCACCAACAATGACACTTCCCTGTGTGGCTCCATTGGGCCAACGCATGATTCGAGCATTCCCCCAATCAGCCACATAAACAGTGCCCAAATGATCGACAACGACTCCTTTAGGATATGACAATTGTGTAAGACCATTTCCTCCTCCTTGACCACCAGCCACGACAATGCCTTGCTTTGCACCTTTCACCCATTTCATCACACGATCATTTCCCCAATCAGACACGTACACTGAATGATCTCGATCGACGAATACGTAGTGTGGGTAAAAGAGTTGATCGAGACGATTTCCACGCCCATTGCTACCTGCAACCACTGTTCCTTGAGATTCTCCTCTTCGATATCGTCTCACTTCATCTTTTACCCAGTCAATGACATAGAGAGATCCATTCTCATCCATTGTCAAACCCCAACAATCGATGTTCGAGATGATCGTTTCTCCACTTGTCCCATTTCGACGAGGCCATCGAACCACTCTTCTATTCGAAGTATCGGAAATGATGAGACAATCTCTCTCTTTGTCGGCAATCACATCTCTTGGGTAAGACAACTGATGAGCCCCACTTCCTGGTCCATTTCCACCGGCAACCACTTGGCCACTCGTCGCACCCCATTTCCATCCCACAATACGATTATTGTCATAATCAGCGACATAGACTGTTTGATCATCATCAACATACAAACCACATGGGCTTGAGAGTTGATTGATTTCATTGCCTTGTCGATTTCCTCCAGCCACAGTGATACCATTCTGTGCCCATTGGGCATTGACGGGAATATTAGGAATTACTACAACGAACGAGACATAGAATCGTCGTCAAAGAGATCTTCTTCGTAAGAGAAAGGGTTGCGCAAAAGAAAAATTCTTCTTTGAAAAGGGAATCCGTTACAAAAGTGGAGAATTATCTCTCCTCTAACAATATCTGAACCATAAAGAAGGTTCTCCTCGCAGAGATAAAGTCACACCGGATGAGTCCTTATCAAACATCTATGAAAAGTTTTTTCTTTATCGTTTGACATTAAAAATAAAAATGAACGTGTTTGCAAACGATTTGTGTATGTTTTATCTAAGATCTTTTGTCTTATAAGAAAATCTAAGGATCTCAGCAGGAATGTGTTCTAGACTTCTATGTGGTTATATCTCAGTAAATCCTATAACGAACTAACAGAGCTCTATAGGAAACCTTGAGACTTCCAGGAAAAGTTCTCAACATGGTTTCAGAGGAATTTGTCACAAGCTTCCAACTACGGATTTACTTCAGTGGTATTGGAAGCAGCACAATAATGACATGGATCAAGAGAAATTTTTAGCGAAGTAATATGATGTTTTGACAAAATCAGCGAGAAAGGTTTTTAGCGAATATAGATGAGGATCTTCGCGAGAAGGAAGAGAACTAGACAAGAATGCTAAAGGCGACATGAGGAATGCTAGAGCAAAATCTCGGGTGCCAGACGAAACATGTGGAATGCTGAAAGCCATAACAGGGATCCAAGATGCATTACCTGGAAAGCTAAAAGATATATCCGGATACTGGAAAGAGCATCTGGAATGCTATAGACAATATCTGAGATGCTAGAAACATCATCTGCTATTTTCGAGATGAATACGCGAATAGTGACGGCGTCATCTTTGGGTGTGGGTGTTGGTGGGTGTGGGTGTGGGGTGTGGGTGTTAGTGGGTGTGTGGGTGTGGCTGTGGGTGTGGCTGTGGGTGTGGATCTTCTTTCGATTCTCATCCACACCCACACCCTATAAGCTTCGAAAAAATATCGAATTCCATAGATCCTGGTGGCTTAAAGCATAATTCATGTGAATCTTTTTAAGAATTTATCTGAAAAAATTTCATGTCAAATCTATACAATTCGACTGTTTTTCATAGCTGTACACTCACTTCAAAATCCCAACCAGAGCTGATCAATGCAACTCAATGAAATTTAAAGGTCTTCCGAAATATTTTTCATTTCAATTCAAATTATTGATTCTGACGAATTCTGTTCGACTCCCTCCACTTTAACTCATTGATTTGAAAAATTTCGTCAAGTTCGTTGAATGCGAGTTATGAATTGAGTTGCCCATCTATGAATCGAACTTATAGTAACATGTGAGTAATATAAACAATAACAAAATTCAATTTACTTTCATAAGAAACTAATCTAACTACGGCACGTTCTGTGAAAGTAATACACATGAAGATTGTTTTTTAGATTGTGAACAATTTCGAGCCTTTTTTTAGTATATTTTGAATATCTGAAGTTGAATAGATATTTAAAAAATCTATCTAAAATTGTTTATACTGAATTGACATCATTATTAAGAATGAGTGTTATTGAAAAATATGTTAGAATATGTTTATGAATTTTTTTCTAGGATGATAACAATATTATTCATGGACACCTACTGTGAGTTATTTTTAGCATTATCTTCTTAAATAGATTTAGATGTAATTATTTTACGTGATTGATATAAAAATATAATGACAAAGAATGAACACAATTAGTTTGATAAAGTATATAAATATTTTTACTAATGGTGTGCTCTCTTAACAATACTTTTAGCTGACTATGATACATTTTTAGCAATAACTTACATGTTACTCATTACCACGCGTTTCCTCTATCTGTTGAGTTCTTTATATTCAAAAACTACAAAAATAAAATCACATCGGGTTCTAAACTTATATTATGTGAATGCAAAAAAGAGTCTCTAACATCATTGATTTTAATGATATTCATTTGACACTCGTTGAATCAATATATTTGGTGTAAATTGATTTCATTTATCATTAATTTAAGCCAACAAATACATTGAATTTCAGAAATAGAATTGAACGATTGTATCTCATATTGGAGTTGTTTTCAAAAATTAGCTATTGACCTGCCACTTTAGATTATGCTGTTGTAATTTATCATGAAACGACAAAATAAAATTTGAGTTTTCTTCTACTCAATAATTAAGTATAGTATATTATTTTCAACGAGTCAAATAAAAAAGTGATCGATTGTTGAATTAGAAACACTTCAGATGAAGTTCGAATACTTAAAAATATAATGAATTATCTTTATTGTCTAGTAGATCAAGTTATAAACCATGTTTTGTTCACGAGCACCAGATATCTGACATGTGAACATCTAATGTCAAAACGCAAGTCTAACTCACATAAAATATGAATTCTACTTAATATACAATATTACTTTAAGTACTTGAAATAATTTAACTCTCTTCTTAGGTAATATAAACTTTTATGTAATTCGAAGTAGTATAATGAAATCTACTAGTTTGCAATGTTTCTAATTATTTTTGTAGCAGTAGAATCTGTTTTATTTCGAGAACAATTCGATGAGTTGTGTGTAATTAGTAATAAAAAGCATTTTCGTACAATGCATCGGATTCTAATGAATCTACAGAATATTCTGATTGTTTCGCCACGTATAATTCTGATCCCAGAAAAAGAAGAAATATTTCCGTGAAGAAAGGATGAAAAATGATAAGTCAAGCTATCATCTGCTGAACTAGTACAGAACAGCAATTATTCTTACAAAAGAATGAGAATAATAAGTAAACGTTATAGAATATCTGCATTGAATTTTTTCTGATAGTTTTGAAGATATAAATCAGGAAAGTGTAAGCATGTTGCGACAAAGTATAAGAATATTGGTAGCGATCTAAGAAGATAAACGAAACCTAGGAGTTGAGGAAATTCAAACTATGCACGATATTCAAATAATCAAAGATGCGCATAAATTCAAAACATCTAAGAATATTTAAAAATCAGTATGTTTAGGATTCGCAATATTTCAAGAAACTCAAATCAAGCTAGACATACGTGTATTTCGAACAATACAAGATAGCCTTAAAACCTTCAGGAATTTGTAGATCGCCAGCAACCTGATGAATCAGAAGAATCTGTGGAATACGAAGCATTTGAGATATCCATGAAATCACTAAAATACTAAGAATCAATAGAATCGTAGGAACTTAGGATACGAATTAAATGCAGAGAATTACGAGGAAGTATATGTAGCTCAAGAGAAAGATCTTATGCATACCTCAGGGATAAATAGGAAAAAGAAGAATGATCGACGAAGAAAACATCTCATGATGAAAAATGTAACGACAGATTTTTAAAAATGTCTTTCATAAACACACGAACAAGAGAATACAACAAAAAGGAATGTCATATATTTTTCTTGTTGAGTCTCATCATTTTTCGACTTCTCTGAAAATCTAGAAACGAAAGAATAAGGTTTAATGAGAAGAATCTTAGAAACTTCATGAATCGTACGAGCCATCGAAATTCCATGAAGCCACGAAACTTGGACTCCAAGTATATCAACGAAGTTTAGGAACTCATTGGAAAAAGAAAACCACAAAATTCAAGAAGTCGTCTGCAAATAGGAACTCTTAGAAATTCAAAGAAATAAAGAAAGCTGTGAAAACCAACGAATTACAGTAATAACCTGATTGTGAAGAATCTAAATTGCTAATAGTACTGAAATAATCAATCAAATTAGAGGAAACATGATAAAAGAAGAAACTAAAAAAAGTGAAGAATTCACAGGAGCAGTCGCAGAGGTATAGAGAAGAAGCTATAGTAAAAGATGAATCGAACAATTTTGCGATGAGTTCTTATTTTCTTATTATAAGTTTATACAGATTAGAATTGCTCATCTCACACATGTTTCTATTATTACTAATATCTGAATGGAAAAGAATTAGATACAACAGAAGTTGATTGATTCCAACTAACGAGGAAAATCTATGTACACTTATGTCAAAGATGCAGATATAGCTTCGCTTTATCGAGACACTTAAGAGTTAAGGAAACTCACTGATCTAAGTATGTTTGTTTCTAATTCTAGATTCAATAATTCTAATTTTTTCCACTAAACAATCCAAAGCGTTGATACAAGTAACAACACTTGTTCTGTTTATATCGCTTTAAGAAAATTTGATTATCATCTAGTGTTGGAGAGGACAGATCGCCAATTTTCGAGAAAAGATAGTTTTTTTCGACAAAAACTCAAAAGTACGTTTCTAAATCAAGTAAGGATTAAGGAAATCCTGTTGACCGTCATTCTCAAATAGCTCTTATATGTACAGTTGTCGTTTGTTGAGAAAACGATTACAATACGTTGGTATTCTGGAGAAAGTGAACGAAAATAAACATCTTATCTTTGGATGACCATAGAATGTTCACAAAATCATATTTTATCTCAGATTACGATCTTCTACCCAAGCATACAAACTTTTGAGAAAACGCGTTTAAACGCACAGAAATTGACCTAAAATGAGCAAAAAGTGGACGCTTTTGGCTCATACTTGAGGTTCTCGACCGTGAGCCAAGAACGCCCATTTTCGCCCTTTTTGTGCGTTTAAACGCGTTTCCAGGCAAAAAACGCGTTTACAGATATACAAAAAAAGAGAAAAAGTGGTCGCTTTTTCATACTCGGGATGCACGATCATGATTACAGTCACGTTTCTTGAACTGGAAAAACTTAACAACTTTTTTCTCTTTTTTGTATGCGTCTAAACGCGTTTTTTGTCTGAAAACGCGTTTAAAGGCACAAAAAGCTCGAAAAATGAGCGTTTTTGGCTCACAGTCGGGAACCTCAAATGTGAGCCAAAAACGTCCACGTTTTGCTGATTTTAGGCCAATTTCTGTGCGTTTAAACGCGTTTTCTCAAAAGTTTGTCTGCCTGGGTAGTAGTTCCATTTACTTTTAAAAGTCATTTTCAAGAACTACTCGGCAAAAGATGCACAAATTCAATAAGGGTGTGGGGTGTGGGTGTCGCAAGAGAATGGAATATGCACACTCACTCCTACATCCACACCCACATCCACACCCTACCTTGATTGAAGTATATAATCCTTAATATTTCTGCCAGTATCAAAAGTTGGAGCGTTATTTACGAAGGGAAATATTCCTTTGTTTTGGTTTTTACTTACTTGAGGGAGTCGGATTGATTGATGGTGGAACAACAATTTGCACAGGTAGTAAAAGTGGATGTGGCGGCCGAGTCTCTTCTAATTGAATTATATGAAGATCACCTTGATTAAGACAACCGATCACTTCGAATTGAGTCGCAGGCATTAGAAGCACTTCATCTTCAGCTGGATAATACGAATGTTTACGAATATCTTTAGCCGATAGACAATGTAAAGTAAACATTGTGCGATCACCTTTTGCTCCCAAAAATTGATTCGAATTCAAAACATTAACAGCCGTTGTACAAGACGAGAAACCCCACCAGACGATTGTGTGTCCTCTCATGTAACGCTGACTTAGATCTAGTTTAACACCTCTGTACGCAGTTTTAGAAAGCGACGGAAGGCGAAAGAGTGCATTAAGAAAGAGTCTCATAAACAAATACCATGGTTCAAGCTTTTGTTGCCTATCGAATGAGCGTAATGCATCATTCAAAACGAAATATAAGCATTTATCTAGTGGCTTC